TACTATATAATAATAATAAATCATAAAAAAGTAGGATGATACCACATATAATTGTTATTATTTTCTAGAAATTGCTGAAATAGATGATCAAGATACAAAAGATAGCCATTAATTTTATTATGAAACAATAATAAATGAATGGTAATGGGAAACGTCATAGCCATACCATTAATATATTAAAAACAATTTTATTGTTGAAAACATTCTAACCTTATTTAGCAAATTCATATTTTCTTAGGAACGATAAAAAAACTAATTAGAATATCTAAATTAAACTAATTCTTTTCAAATAACATAATAATTTAATATTTTAACACATTACTAAATAAAATTTGGATTAAAAATTATATCATTCAAAAATTTTTAAAGGTTTCCTTAATCAACCTAGAGTAATTATTTATTAATTAAGTAAGTAGTATGAGCTTTCAAATTGAGTTGTTAAATCTAGTGTGATTTTTCCATTGATTCATAAAGACACTTGATGCAAAATAATTTCACATATTAAATATCAATGGTAAAAGATATAATAAATTATTGTTTGACCAAGAGAAAGAATCATATATTACTTTAGATAGAGATTACAGTTATGAATTTTTAGTATTCGACAGCTAAGGGGCACAAATAATATCCATAAATTAACTTAAAATATAGATTTAGCGGATGAAATAAAATTATAATAAGGATTTTAAAATTAAATTATAATACTTAAAGTTAAGGTAGGCTTATTTCGATAAAGAATTCAAATTTGTTACAGAATATTTTAGATTAAAATTAATTAATGTTTAATAGAAATATAGGAAATTTCTTATATAGTTTAAAAGAAATTCAACAAAATAATAAGCCTTTAAATTGAAAAAGGAAGAAAAAGAATAATTCTATAAAATAGAAACTAAATAAAATATTATCTACCTAAAACCAAAAATATGTCAAACTATTCATTTAATTATAAATAAATAATTGCATGCAGATTAAAGAAATAAGCTAAAATGTTTGTTAAAGTTTTTAGACCTATGTTATTCTCCCCCATCATCATCATGATTTAAAGAATAGAATGTAATGTAATTTTAAGAATATATCACCATTATATATATGGCTAAAACCAATTTTTATCAAACTAATTGATAAAGGAAAAAGAGGCCCTATTTTTCAATAAAAAATAAAAAAATTTAGGCTTTAAAATTAATTGCTGATGAATCTCAAAATATATATTGCAATATTTACAATAAATTCTATATATTTATATATATATTTGTAATGGAACTTATAATGTGAATTTTATGAAGATGATAGGAATAATTAATTAGATTAGACTTTAAATCCTATAAATTATATACAAAGATGATGTTGAATAAGAATTAATTTCAAATATTAAAGTGTTCAATAATTTTATTTTTAATAAAAGATCTAATTATAGGACACTAACATTTAGTATTAAAGTATTTCTTGGACTAATATAAAAACAATATAAATTTTAAATTAAAATTTATAATTAAAGTTCATTTATACTACTTTGTTTCAAATAGCTAGGATAAAAAAAGGAGATATTAAATTATTTTTTTAATGAGTGTAGTTTGAAATGTGTATAAGATTGGATTCAAAACCAAAATCTAATTGATAAACAACTATTTAATTAAATGAAAGATGGGAATTATAAAATTGAATTGTATTCATTATTTTTCATATAACTAAACAAATTGTGAAAATTTAAATTTAATTTATTATTTATTAATTAAAAAATGTAAATTTAAAAGTAAAAAGTAAAATAGAATTGAAATATTTTGTATTTAAAAAATAATTCCTAAAAATTTATCATTCAAAATGCTAAATTAAAAATTATTATTGGGATAATTAAAAATGAGCCCTGATTATTAGTTTTAGTTTCATTTTGATTATCAATTTTAGATTCATTTTGATTATTAATGTCCTCTTCAGGGTTGTTTTGTTATAAGCAACTTTAACATTTGAGTGTTTATGAGTTCCAAGTGTAAGTAAATGCTGATTAATACTAGCAATCTGTATGATTCAAAATATTTAGAGGATCATCAATAATACATTTTTAATCTTTAAGGATACATCTAATGTATGAATTATGATTAAAATTAGGAACTGGTCGACAAATTTAACCTTTGGCTAAAGTTTCACATGTATGATTAAGACATTCAGATTCTGAATTCCAAAAACAAGATTTATTAGAATTACAAGCATATTTATCTTAATTAGCTTAAGTACAATCAGAAAAATGATGCAAGTTTCAAAATGATGATTATTTAGACTAGGTGTTAAAAAACATGGTTAACCACTTATTTCTCCTCCATTACAAGATATAACATTATTATAAGTTTTACATTCAGCTTTTTGCAATACAATTTTAACCATTAGAAACACATTATTAGTTAGTAATTTGACAAATAGAATTTGTGATACCATTTGGAATATCATCACATTATTTTAATCTACATAATTTTTAGTTTTAACTATGATCTGATAAAAAACACTCACCATCAATTCCAATATAGCATCCAAATTAATTATAAGATTAACAATTTGAGATTGGAATACAATTATTACCTTTAGTAGTACATTATAATTAATTTATCATAATGTTTTAGCATATTTCATGACTGGAATATTAGAAATCATAACATTACATCAACGTACAAGAAGTATTGTTCCAAACGCAAACTCCATCAATTCCTATTTTGCATACGATTTCATTGTGATAATCAATACAATTTTATTTATCAAAAAATCTTGTTCCACCAGACATACATCCAATTAAAATACATTCTTCATTAATTGATGAAACAAGATTTGAGCATTATTAGAATTTACTACATTTACCTGTTGGTAACCATACACATATTCTTCTTATAAAATAGTATCTTAACAAGTAGTAATAGGAATTCAGTATTATCTATTGGTAGTATATTAAGAAGAGAACTATTAGCATTTTAAATGAGTGTTTTATTTTGCCTCTTAGCATTTGGTAAATAAGTGACAGGATCCATTAACCCACAAACATGGACCAGATCAGATAGAGTGCAAAGATTTTAATCAATGAATCCATTACATGAATCAATACATTATTTTCCATTTGTTCTACATGTTGATGAATATTTTTGACATTATTAATCAGAGTATGCTCTCCCATCACAACATGTAAATTCTCTACATTTACCATTTTCCCATTTACACTAATTATTTTTGTCTCTCAAAGATATAACATATTAACATATAGATTCTTTAATATATGATGAACATAAACCCATAGTTATACAATCAGCACCAGTAGAAGTACATAGAATTGAAAATTATTAACATTATTCATGTTTTTTTTTATATTTGAAGATCAATCTTCACATTATTATTCATGACAAGTATTTGTTTTTTCATTCCAAAAACATTATTATCCATCTACTTTTGTATTAAAGCATTATGTTAAAGTACATTTGTCTGTTGTTTTAGTGCATTATTAGACCCAAGTACACTCATTTCTTAGATTGCAAGAATCATATGAAATTAGATTGTTACATGATTTAATATGAGAACAACCATAACATGTAGTATAACGTCTTTTATGATAATTTTAACAATCTTCATCAGTTTTCAAATTGTTTGGAGCTTCATTACATTCTCTTTGAGAGCAAAAACCATATAAACCAACTTTACATGGACCATCTATAGCAATATAATTAGAACAAGTCTTATCATCTTATCCTTTAAATTATTGGCATGTTTGACCATAATTAATACAACTAGCTCCATCAAAAACACAAAAAATTTTAATTTATGTCGTAGGTTTCATTCCTGAATAACAATCTTCATTACTTTATCCTAAAACATCACTACATTTCATTTCTATACAATTAGATTTCAAAGATGCTTAAGAAGTATTCCAACAATATTTTGTACCATTACTTCCCATAAATTAAGAACAAGTGTTTTAATCTCCAATATAAGCTCTACATGGTAAATTTTAATCAATACATCCAATACCTTTACTCACACATCCAATCATATAATCAGAACATTCTTTATTAGAAAGAGCAATAGTATTATCTGTACAAGATCTTTGTTTACATATACTATCTTAAGTATTATCTATTTCTCCAGAACAATATTTATAAATTTTGTTATTATTTAAATCTAAACCTATAAATTATTTGAATTTTTCACATTATATTTTAGTACCTCTCTATGAAGAACAAGGTTCTGTATTTGGAATACATCCTTTGCCTCTAGTTAAACATTCTTTTAAATAATATTCACATTCATCATCAATCATAGCAGTTGCATAGTCATAACATGATTTATATAAACAATTTCTTATTGTTTCTTATGCTGGTACCATCAATGTACATTTATCTATTCCATTTTTTTCAGTTATTAAATTATAAAACTCAAAAGAACAACTCATTTTTAGTTGCAATTTAAATTTATATCAACACATATTTGTCCATGTGTTTTTGTATTTTTTACAATCTAAATCAGAATAAAACTTAACATCATTGCATTGTCTATCTTTATATTTTTTATTTAAATAATCAAAAGCACAAAATTCATCATTAATATTTTAAATTCCCTCACACTATCTTTTCCCTCTTAATCATCTCCTCCAGTATATATTTATGTTGCACATGCTACTATGTTTAAACATTATGATTTATAATATATACATTATGGAGCATTATTAATACAATCAATAACATTTGAATCATTATCACTACAAATTTATGCTCTACATTTACGATAAAAATCTTTTATACAAGGATAACCTTAAATTAATTTTATTAATTTGCATTAAATTTCTTCTAGGTCTTATTATGGGCCTAAATTCCATTGTATAGTACTATCATAATTAAAACAATCTCCAATAGAAATACAATTTTAATTATTAATAGATGTACAACTTTTTGAATATTTATCCTTTAAAAGTGAACAAGTACCTACTTTATCAAATACTTAAGATACATCATAATTTTCACATGGACTTACTCTTGTACAAAATGACCTTGAACATAAGTCCAAGTCCCCACATCTTTTAAATTTTCACAAAATTCTTATTTTGTTTATAGATCATATCCAATTGATTCTATCTCTTCACAGTTAGCATCATCATTTATGCAAAAACTCTTATAATAGACACATCTTAATCCTACTCCTTTCATATCACAATCTATCTATTATTAAGGATAAAAGATATCAGAAAAAATTTAGGATCTGCAATTTTAATAATTTTCTGAGTATATAAATTTTTTTCCTCATCAATCTACAATTAACAATGATTATAATAATCTTCACGCTTTACTGCTGACTTACAAGAATTTGGGATATGGGCTTCATAAGTACAATTCAATTATGGATCTTAAGACTTGTAGTTTTAACAATACATTATCTTTACCTCATCAGATTAAATTTAGATTTCATATTCAAATGGAATTTATGATTAATCTGAACAATTATTAAATTAAGTACTTTAAGGCCAACATTAATTCTTAAAATAAAAGCAATTATTTAAATGATTATCGCAATCATTTTGGTTGTAAGGAATATTTTTACAGCCTCCTTCTTAACAACGATTTTAATCATTTTAATCAAAAAAACCTTATCTATTCTTAATAATTTTATTTAACTTGTACAATATTCATTTTTGGCATT